ACATTATCATAATAATAATTTACTAATCATTTATTTTTCGAAAACACACTATTTATATTATTCAAATTATTATTAATTTTTATTATTGTGGAAATTTCAGCTGCGTGAGATTTGTAATATTACATATAATAAATGATTACAGTCGACCCCCCTATAAGATCATAGATACTTTCCATTCTTTAGGAATCCGATTTCTTAGGAGTCCTTCCAATCACAGCCCGATACGTGTCAAGTTTACGGACTACGGCTGTTTGAAAGGTTTTCTTCCATAAAATTAATCGATTCTAGACTAATTCGACTCAACGTTTCCAAAATACGTATATATTTTTTGGAAATAATCCGTATAAACTACGCTATAAACAAAAAATTGTAGGATTACTTACCGAGTGTGTACCCTTTGACTACGCTCGTTGCTAAAGCTTGGTTTCGTCGCGGAACAGCGCATCAAATTGCGGCCGCGATTTCTGATATTATTTTTCTGCGAAAACTTCGTTGACCTTTGGAGACATCATTAATATAAATAATTTTTATGGCCGTTAAATAAGAAATGTTTCTTTCACAAGAAATGTATAAAATTACAGTACTAAACAGACGATAGGTCGCCTAACTCGACAAAAACTCACCAACACTGACGAACGTCGCCTATATAATTATAATAAAGTTACAATAAATTAAGTTAATATATAATTATATATACAGTACCTAAATTATATATAATTAATATATAATTATATGTACAGTACCTAATTTATATATAATTTATATAATACTGTCCAGACGATAGAAATCTCTCCGTAGCGTGACGCTACCGACGGCGGGAAAGTAGTTCGGCTACCCGACGATGTTTAACGTAATTATAGGAGGTTTTTACTTTTTTTTACGAATACCGGTGGCAATTTTTTCGCAGTTTTATAGGAATCGTAATTATAGGGACTGTAATTATAGGGGGGTCTACTGTACTTGCTTAGAAAACTATAGAAAATTATTTTCCTTTTTTAGTTGATGTTTCCTTTTACCAGGAACTACAGCCATACAAGATTGCGCAAATATATTCAATAAGAAAAATTCAACTAAAATTTAGTGCATATTTTGTAATTATTATTGCTTTTATAAATCAATTTTTGATACAAATAATGCTATTTGCTGCATGTACTGTCATTCAGTGTGAACGTGTTGCATATTCTAAAGTAACAGTTTTAGTGAAATTGGAAAACACAGTACCAATAGAGATTTCTTTTAAATATTTTATAACGTTAAATGAAAACAAAAATTTAATATATAAACTGCTTTAAAATTTAACACTTATTATAAATGTAGACAGTATGAATCATTAAAGTGGTTTTAATTAACCCTGTTTAAATTACATTGAAACATGATTCTCGGATCAGTATTAGTCTACAGACTATTTGTGGTAAAGTCAGTAGCGTAGTGTAGGGGGCAGCAGGAACATTCCGCCCCGGGCGGCACATTTTAGGGGGCGGCATAATTTCACAATAAATAATAATAATATTTTGTAAGAATTTAAACCATTTTATTTCATATTTTCGTCCACCTACGATTCGGACTGATTGAAATGAGCACGAGAAATAGTGTTACCATCCGAACAGTCTTGGAATCGACTCACCGTCCGGATGTTGTCCGATTAATTCATATTCATATACACCTCCAATATCCAATAGAGCTAAGTCATCTAGGTCACTTGCGTTACTCCTACCCAAGTCTCCCTAATCGCTAACTGCAGTGCATGCCGGTTCTAAATCATAGAACCGGCATGCACTGCAAATTATTCTTCGCATTGCAAAATGATATACGCATGCGTCGAGAACTTCTGTTCGAACAAACCTCACCTGCTGTGCGAGTCAGCGATTTTAAAAAGGTGGCAACACTAGCACGAAATTTTCATTACTTATTCTGTGACGAAACTGAATTTTAGTCTTTTAAATTAAGATACCTAAATAAGGGGACGGTGAAATTTTCTTCCGCCCCGGGCGGCTGACACCCACGCTATGCCACCGAACGTACTGTACAAACGTTTGTGCCGTGTAACAAATGTTTATGTGTAGTTAATTGTGATTTCTATCCTTCTGGATCTCGTCATTCTTTTACTCCATTTTTTTTTACCTCTGGTATCACAAACGAGACCGCGTTATTGACATTCAAAAAAGACGGAATAACTCGACAAGTAGGGATAACGTACTTGGCGTCAGAAATTTCCAAGAGTAATCACTTACTCTGCGAATATTATTCCGTTTAGTTTTGCCAGTTATTTTATCTATTTATTATCTATTTCTTTTTATGTAAAACTGGCATAACTAAACGGAATAATATTTATGGCTAGATATGTGGACGACATCATAATAATATACGACAATGAAATAACTAACGGTAATATAATATACAACTATGCAAAAACACTAAGCAATACCATTAAGTTTGAAAGTGAAACAGAAAATAAAAATGAAATTAACTACCTAGATATAACTCTAAACCGTGAAAAAAACTTACTCAATATAAAGCCTTACAAAAAAAAGCAGCAATACAGACAAAATCCTTAATTATAAGTCGCACAGTCCTATTACAGTAAAAAGAAATATATTTATAACCGCAATAAACTAAAATTTGGAACAGAACATCTAAGGCAGAAGAAAGAGAGAAACAAAAAAATGAGCTAATAAATACCTTCATATTGAACGACTATCCAAGCAGATTACTGAAAAAATGGATAAATGCATTTAAGAAAAACAGATTCAACGTTAAAAATAAGAACGATAACACTACATATACGTCATTTCCCTACATTAAGAAAACATTTGAAAAATACAAAAAAGTCTTCAGTAAGCATGGTGTTATACTAGCAGCCAAATTAAAAAATAAAATTAAAAAACAACATCAACACCAACAATTTTAAAAATAACGATATACTAATCCAAACAGGTGTAATATATGAAATAAAATGTACATGCAAGAACCCAGCGATATATACATTGGCGAAACAGGAAGACAACTCAGTACAAGAATAAAAAAACATAAAGCAGCAATTTGATTTAATTATAATCAATCACCGTGGACAAATCACTGTAAGGAATTTGGATGCACAATAAACGAAAAAAGCATAAAAATTATCCATAAAGAAAAAGATAGTTACCTACGAAAATTCAAAGAGCACTTCGAAATCATTGATAAAAGCAAAACCATAAACCTAAATACAGTCGACCCCCCATAATTACGATTCCTATAAAACTGCGAAAAAATTGCTACCGGTATTCGTAAAAAAAAGTAAAACCTCCTATAATTACGTTAAACATCGTCGGCCAGCCGAACTACTTTCCCGCCGTCCGTAGCGCCACGCTACGGAGAGATTTCTATCGTCTGGACAGTATTATATAAATTATATATAAATTAGGTACTGTACATATAATTATATATTAATTATATATAAATTAGGTACTGTATATATAATTATATATTAACTTATTGTAACTTTGTTATAATTAAATATATAATTTCCGCAGTCTAGCGTGGCGCTACGCTACGGAGATTTTTACGCTAAATATCGTCTGTCAGTATGTAAATTAGGTACCGTAAGTCTAATACAGTACTGTAATTTTATACATTTCTTGTGAAAGAAAAATTTCTTATTCAACGGCGATTAAAATTATTTATATTAATGATGTCTCCAAAGTTCAACGAAATATTCGCAGAAAAATAAGTTTTTAGAAATCGGCGGCCGTATCGTGTGCTGTTCTGCGACAAAAACAAGCTTTAGTAATGGCTGTGCACACTCGGTAAGTAACCCTACAATTTTTTGTTTATAGCGTAGTTTATACGGATTATTTCCAAAAAATATATACGTATTTTGGAAATGTTGAGTCGAATTAGTCAAGAATCGATTAATTTTATGGAAGAAAACCTTTCAAACAGCCGTAGTCCGTAAACTTGACACGTATCGGGCTGTGATTGGAACGACTCGTAAGAAATCGGATTCCTAAAAAATGGAACGTATCTATGATCTTATAGGGAGGTCGACTATAATGGAATGAAGGTTGACAACGTGTGGGAGGAAATGGGAGGAGCTATTGGGAAGGAAAACAAAAAGAGGGGAAAACGGTGTAAAAATGCCTTAGGGGACATCACATCAACACGGGGCAGATGTCGGTCTAAAACTTAAAACAGGTTAGTTAACTATTGTATAAATATATCCAAATAACTATTGTAGTAATTTACCGTAATAACAAATGTAATAATTGAATTTACCAATCTATAGAAATGTAAAAAACCTGTAGAGGGGTGCAAATTACACGAAAATATTGCACCCGAAATGCAGAGTAAATAAATAAAGAATACGAAAATAAGCTTTTGTCTCTGATCAAATGCGGTCTAGGCAGAAAAACGGTGGTTATTTCTATAGAATTAACACATAAAGTTTTATCAATTTTGAGGAAATATTTTTTGAAAAATTGATTTTTTTAAAAAGAAATATAAAATTTATTATTTATCAAAGCGTTTACGATGAAATATTTTTTGTTATTTCATATAGCTTTAATTTTATAAACCTCTTATTTAATACAGTAGAGCGTCGTTTATCCGAATCAATTGGGGACGGGTTGTTCGGATAACTTATTTTTCGGATAACCGACTATGCACGAAAAAATATATTAACCTATCCCGTATTGAAATTTTTCTCTGTTGCGTGTCGCTTCGCGTTGAATTTTCGTCGATGTTAAGCCTAATATAAACTTTTTAAAATAATAAAATTATTTCTTTATTTTGTACAAACAAAATAAATATATTGAAAAATATAAAAACAATAAAACATTATACTCGGAAGTTAATTTAGTCTCAAAAACATAAAATATTTGAGTAGCTCAAGACATAGCTAAAGATTGCAGCACCACAGCACTGGCGAAAATTTAAATTTACTGACTTGAATTCTTTCGGATAACCGACGCTGTATTGTATATTAAATATTTGAAGTTGTGTATATATTAAAATTAACCTACCTTGTTTATTATCCTCCATGTTCGGTTATCCATAGAATACGTTAATGCTAACAATAATTCCTCATTATTGCCTGGAAAAAACAAACATATTTGTAAATATGGTAAAAATATATTCGGAAAGCGGCACTCCATCTGCCAGCAAGAAGACGAGAGCGAGACGAGACGGGACATCAAGAGAGAAGTGAGATGAAATGAGTTAAAATAAGAGAGAAGTGAGTTAATATAAAACAGGCGCGAAACGACAGAAGATGAGTCCAGATGGGACGTTTTTTCCTTTTTTCTAAGACGAAGAGTTTCGGAAACGATTCAAGTTTAATATTCCGTGTTATATGTCGCATCTGTAATGTCTACTGACGTAATTAAACGTTAGCATCGTGTCAGACTAAGTAGTACGAGTGACGTTAATTAGGCTTAAATAGGAGAAGACGAAGAAAAAATTCCTACATATAATTCAATATGGAACAGAATATTGAAAAAATACTATATACAAATTTATTGATTATAATTTTAAAAACTGGCCGACAGTATTTTCTTACCTAAATTCGTAACAATATAATGAAAATAAAAAATGTCTTTATCATCCCAACATTTGCAATCACCAGCAACACTGCACAAAAATTTTACTTACAGAGACAGCTTTCTATATTAGGCAATGCCTTGATTTTCACCATTTTACCGTTTTACAGAGGCATAGCCTCAAATAAAAATATATCTCTGTAAGTTAAAATTGTATTTGAATTCTTGCTGATAATCGTACATGATGTAATACATAAAAACATTGTGTATCTTTATTAAATTGCTATGTAAGTACTGCTGTCTATTTTCTCAATTTAATATAATAAATTTCTTCATAATCACGATGTGTAAAAGAAGGCCCATTAAAATAACAAGTAATATCAGACATATTAAAATTACCACACACTAATATTTTTTAATTATTAAAGTTTTGTATAAGTTATTACATAGCCATATATCATTTTAAATACGCTTTCACCTTTTAGGCGTAATGCCTATACTCACGTTAAAATTGTTTTAATTGCAAGTAATTTAACTACTAAAATTTCATCTAAATACTGATAAATGAATGAAATAAACCTTTCTCCATCTCCTCGCTGGAATTTGTGAAAGAATAAATAATAAAAATTGTTCTAAAAGTTACAAAACTGGAGGGATATCGAACTTTCTGTTAAGATATTCGTGTTATGATATTTGTTTAGTATAGTATAAAGATATTGACATTTATTTTTAATAGATCATAGATTTTGTAGGAATGTTGTGAGATTATTGTCTGGTTTCAAGATTTCATAAATTTTAAGTAAAATTGCGTGCTGATGAACTAAAAACTGAAATGTCTATAAAGATCGTAAAAGCTAAACGCTTAAACACGAATATATAAGTGATTTATACTATTTCATTTATAATTATTAATTTGTAGTCTAGATTTGCGAATGAGGTCTCGGATGGTGCTACTATTAATTTTAATTATTTTATAACTTAAAAGACGCATGTACAATTTACCTGTAAATAATGATAAAATATAAGTGTCAGGATTGTCTCCGCTTCTCGCACCATCCGAGTTATAACAGTAAATTGACTCATGAGACGGGGCTTAATTATGGCTAGCAAGTCTATTTGCAGAAATAACAGTGCGTCACTGGTGACTCCATTGACTTGTGGTAGGTAAGTGTTATACATAGACAAACTATTGTTTGTCTATGTATAACACTTACTACAATAAGTCAATGAGAACGTCCAACGTATAGTACACGTTTTGGCGTTTAAAACTTCGGCCTCAACTTCGCTATTAATAGTATAATTGACTTGTGAAAATAATCTAAATGTATAAAATTTCTTGATTTGACTGACGGACTGGCAGAGTGATTGCGTGATTGCGTAATCATCGCCCAGAGCAAACCGCTGAACATAAAGAGGTGAAATGTTTTACACAGTTAGGATACGTCATGAAAATGCACACTAAAAAGGAATTTTTGGAAATTCTTCCGCTGGGGGAGAGGGGGAGAATTAAGACTTAACCTAAACAATGGCTGCTACTGTAATATTCTAGATCGTCAGAGAAACGAATAAAAATAAAGAATTATCAATTAATTGTTATAAATTTAACAACATGCAAAGGAAAAGCCAAAGGGGATGGCCGTTGTTCCCCCCTTTTCCAATAGTGATAGATGACAGATGGTACTCTATCCACGTGTCGTGGACGTGTTTAATACTTAATAGAGAAGAGAGAAGTAAAACAAAAGGATATCCAATCATGCTTGTCTTTTATTACCTGAACTTCCTCCATGAAAAATCATAACAGGTCGGAAACGAAAAATAAAATAAAAAGGAATGACGAAAATCTGAGTGTAGCTAGCTGAGCTAAGGAGAAAGAAGACGAAAAGCTGAAGAAGAGAGAGAGAAAGAAAGTAAAAGAGCCAGAAAGTAAATGGAAAGATGAGAGGGATAAGCAGCATAGAGAAGAAAGGAAAAAGAAGAAAATCAACTCCTAGAAGAAAAGACAACTCTTTTCTTATTATTTTGTAAGTCACAAAGTTTGGATGCCATCCGCTAGGTAACCCCCGTTTTACAAATACTGTATAAATAAACTAACTGTCTAAAACAGATTTTGTACTTACTAAGTTATACTAAAGTTTAAACTAAGTTCTAATGTTACGTTTCGTTTTTCCATTGTAAATTTTCTTTTTTATTCTTAAATTAATTTACTTGACTTTGTATTCCCACTACTGAGAGGCTCATTCTTGGATTTCGGCGTGACTCTTACCTTCGCGCCTTACATAGCTGATTTTTGATTTTTCTTTTTTGTCTAAATCAGAAGTGTGTCAGACAACACACACTTGGTGGCAGGGTTCCACCTTAAACTTTCATTACTCAATTTGTGACGGCTCCCAAACTCCCACAATTTTTGTATTATTGATACTATGTATTTCCTCTTGTTTTATAAAATTTCATGTTGTATTAAACTATATTAAATGTAAGTTTAATGTAGTCATTAATGTAGTATTTTACAACATTAAATTTACATTTAATGTAGTTAATATAAGATGTGGTATGTTAAATAACATCTTACTTTTTATATACTGTATGTATACGGGAAATTCTCGTTACTTCGAACTCAGGTAATTCGAAATTACATTACTTTGTAACTATACTATTTGTCCTGGCTGGAGATATACAGATTTAGGCTACATGTTAAAGAATTAGGTTTGTTCGAAATACTGCTACTATTAATTTTGAAGTAAAAATTCTATTAGAACGTAATATGCGTATGTTAGCGGATTCGTTCAGATCGAAGTGTCTCCATGCTATAAAAATCCAATAGACCAAAAATACTGTAACTCAAATTTGGTCAATTTGGCTATGCTTTTACAGTAACACATTTTTCAATGTCGCGTTACACATGAGCTACTCTTTTTTCTCTAATCTCATCAAATGGCTGATTTTTGGAATTGACAAATTTAGCAATGAATAGTTGATAGAAATTTTTTAGACGCTGAGCTACTTCATTCGGGCGGTTCCTACTTTTTGATTTACTTTATAAATAATTTCGGCTACATTTTGGATAATTTTGCTTTGCTTTTTATAAAGCCTATCTGGCTACATGGGAGGTTCTCACCAGACACGTGCTGTTTACCTGCAGTTTATGCTATTTATATTATTTTTAGTATTAATTATCGATCAACGAAAACAGCATTGTACACAGCCGTGTTTCATTTCTTTAATAAATATATTACGTAAAGTGCATGGAATTTGGAATATTATACAGAAATATGTAAATGTTGGATAATTTGAAACTCGATGATTTGAAGTCGTTATTAGTTTGTCCCTTGAATTTCGAATTAACGATATTTTCTGCGTATGATAATTTTAAATTTTCTCAGTTGTTTCATTGTACAATTTCGGTAATTATTGTTACTGGGTGAAAATTTACAGTTGCAAAACTTTTACAACCTTTTGTAAAATAAATAGGCATATATAAGTAAATATTCATGTTAATAAAATCATACAGTTATGTAATAACAGAAAATTTGAGATTTTACAAAATTCGAAGTATTAAATATTCTTATTCCATTTTGTTAACAAGGCAAAATGACAATACACTAGTGCAGGAGTCGGCAACCTTTTGAGTCAGAAGAGCCAAAAATTACAATTTACAAAATTTCAAAGTTTTTAAAGAGCCACAAATTATTTTCTTGCCAACAATAAATAGTACTCGCATAAATATAGTTTTTTTGATAAAAAAAAAGTAATCTATTTATTCATATTCAAGTAGTGTTTTTCACAACCTCATAGAAACATCCGACGACGGCGTCATTCCAGAGCTTCCGACGGACTGACGACAGAGACGACGCATGTCACGGGGGAGGGTGCGGTGAAAAGCGAGTACAAGTGGCTGAGAGATAAAATCAGTGTCTAATCCTCGTTAATCGATTCAGAATGATTTTTAAATGTTTTTGTTTTTTGATAAAATAAATAATATTTGCGTATGGAACTAAAGAGCCGCAGCTTGGCATTTAAAGAGCCGCATCTGGCTCGCGAGCCACAGGTTGCCGACCCCTGCACTAGTGAGAAAACACAAATTTTCAAAAATAAACTCATTGGTCTATTTAAAACAGATTGAATTATAAATTTTATTTCTTCGTAGCTACTATTTTTTGCTATTAAGTTGGTCTTATTGTAAAATAGCCATGTAAAAGTTTTTTAACAAGTTGCGATAAGTCCGACTTAATATAAACCATACAATTGGAAATCCTTAATTTTTATTGCGTAATAATTAAGTGATTTTTTCCAGGGTATCAATCCGTTTAATAAATATGATTCAATAATTTATGTAGTTTCATAATGCTATATATGGCTATCGTAAAATATATCATTATATGCATAACATATTATATGCTATATTACCCTATACTGTATTAAGAACTTTCGTAAAATATTAAGAATAAATAGTTTAAACTAAATGTATCAAATTATATTTTAAAAATATATTAATTTATAACATTAGTTACCATTTTTGATTGTAGCAATTTTTCTGGCATAATTTATATCAATGGTGACGTGATGAGTATCATTCATTTCTGTTGGATAGAATTCTATGGCAACTGCTTGATTGTTTAAAATAATGTTATGACGTGCAGTCGAAAAGACATTAGGAATTATATACGTTACACGTTCTAGTTTACAAGCTGAAAAAATAAACAGATTATTAAAGTAAAGAAAGTACCCAGAAAGAGTGTAACATCTGTGTTTATCACTGATTATGATGAATTTTTTCAAAAATAAAATGTTTATAAAATAATGTTATCTACTAAGTCATTTTATTATATGGGCTGTATTGCGATAATTAAGAAAGTGTTTCTTTCAACGACAAAGGCAAACATCATTCCAAAAAAAAACATACTCGAAGTACGGGATGGAAAAATGAATTTATTACGCGTGATAATAATCTACGGTTACAAGGTGATTCCAGTTTTAGGGGTTGTTGACTAACAGTCACTCAAGATCCGTTTGTTGATAGAACAGACAAAACAATTATGAAAAATTATAACGATTGGTACATATAGGGCCGACGATAATATTTACAAAAATTTTCCTTAACACTATTTCTTAATACTAATTTATACCTGGTGAAAAATAGAGAGAGAACGAAAAGTAGCGAAGATGGCGGAGAAGAATGCCTTTGTAGTTCACACCCAAAATTATAGAAGGGTAGGTTGGCTCATAGAGAAGAAACGCTTCTCATTGGTTGCTTATTTGACGTCCTTCGAATTGCAAAACAGAACATTTAACTACGTTGTTACGGTAAAAAATTGCGTATCAGAAGTTTGTAGATTTAATATGATAAAGTACTCAGCAAATCACTATATATATATATAACTAACACCTTATCCTTGCTGAAAAACATAATTTATTTCTTGGTAAGGTTCGAGAATGCTTATAAAAAGGGCCCCTAATTTATACAAAATCCTCATAAATGATAAACATGCTATAATGTCAGAGGAGTAAGCAGGGGTTTATAGAATTCCTTATGAGAATATGCAATTGGGCGTTAAAAAGGATTATATTGGAGTACACACCAGGAGTTTGGGACAATCAAGGAACATAGTTATAATATCAGAAAGGAGTGTAATGCAACAATTTTGTCCCAAATGGCTCAAGCAACAGGATCTGTAGTTAAATGAAATGAGGCAGCAATCATAGAACCTATATCTTCCCCATCTTTGAAGTTGACATATGAAAAGTTGCAGATTTATAGGAGTAAAATACAGGAAGGCTGTTTAAATGCGAGGGATGCAGAAAGTCTTCCTTCTGCATGGAAGTTTATAGTTAAGAAATTTAATAAGAGCTCTAACCAGTCAAAATAGTAATTTTATTGGATGTGTTAGTAATTGTATTTCTTAATACTTCTATGTACATTTTTTACATTTTTATATTTTAATTTTATGTTGCTCCGTTGCTTATTTAATTTTTAATTTGGTTTTCAACCTCAGGATGGTCTGTGAATCAGGCTGAAAACGTTTGTTTGAAATAAATTATATTTCTCGGCAAGGATAAAGTGTTAGTTATATGTTTGTAGATTTAATTACACGCTAATATTCCATTAATTATAATTTATATTTAATTGAATGTAAATAAAAATAGGTTATAAATAAGAAATATTTAGAATATTGTTCAAATCTTCGTAATTTCTACGTGTAAAGTAAAAATTAAAATGCGGTTTGCTACTTTGTAAATGAAATCGATTTTATGATTTTACGTGTTTTTCTAATATAATTATAATTTCTAAAAAAATTAAATTTGGTAAATTCTGCGTAGGTGATTTATATATACGTAAATTGATTTAATTTCTATCGTCAAACCACTCGTTTTTTAACCTAAAATTATATTGGTTTACTGATTTTTTAATTTTTAATACTCATATACTGAAAACAATATTATTAAGTCATAAATATAAAAAGATAACTTTGTCAAAAGAACGATTTTCTGTCATAAACATATTTTTAATATCGGTATATACAAATTAAGAATTACATAAAACAGAATTAAAAGAAATCAGGTACAGTACAAAGGTTCGCTATGTGTTCTTTTAATCTAGTTTTTACTTTTCTTTTTGTTTTTCCTATGTAACGTGTTTTGTTTGCGCAGGAACACGTAATTTTATATACTACATTTTCGGCTTCGGTCTGTATTTGCTGGTTTTTCTTCCGGTTCGAGGTTAACAGTCTGTTCTGCATTTTTTGATATGATGGTGCTAATTTGTAGTTTATTTTTTTATTTCTGTGCTGATTTGTTCATATAGGCTTTTAATATACGGGAACTTAATATGTTTTGTTTTAGTTGCATGTTTAAACTACCTAGATATTACAATAACAAGATTAATTAATTAAAACAACATCTCGTATATAGTACGTTGAAGAAACCGAGCTCTAACCAAGTAACAATAAGATATAAATCTAAAATTCCATTATACGTTAAGTATAATATATATAAAATGGAATACGACAAGATCATAAACCAGACAAGGCAAGAAGCACATATAAAGGAAGGCCTAATAAATTTAAGGAAGAAGTTCCTTCTAGCAGGATTTCCGCAGAGATTAATGAAAAAATGGGAAATCAGACTTAATGACCCCAAAAAAAAACTAGGTAAAAATAAAAACAAACAAGCAACTAAAACAAAATATATTAAGTTTCCGTATATTAAAAGCCTATATGCACAAATCAACACAGAAATAAAAGGAATAAACTACAAATTAGTACCATCATATCAGAAAATGCAGAACAGATTGTTAACCTCAAACCAGAAGAAAAACCAGCAAATACAGACCGAAGCCAAAGATGTAGTATATAAAATTCCGTGTTCCTGCGCAAACAAAAGACATTACATAGGAGAAACAAAAAGAAAAGTAAAAACTAGATTAAAAGAACACAAAGCTGACCTAAAATACAATTGAATAAATTCTGCATTTTACGAACATTTTGCTCTAAACAACTGTATTATAGACAAAGATAAAGTAGAAATACTGCATAAAGAAATATTAACATACAACAGGAAGTTTAAAGAAACTATAGAAATTATAGAAAGTAATGACAATATACAGTGGTGCCTCGTATAACGTACTTAATCCGTTTCAAGTGCACGTCCGTTAAGTGAAAAATCCGTTATACGAAACGCATTTTCCCATAGAAATACATGTTAAAACATAATTCTTTTCGTAGCATAAAATAAAGGTACTGTACTATGAAAAAAATGAAAATGGAGGGGTCACCGATTATGTCGGGTTGTCAGATGTTGTGAGGAGGAGGTGGACGAACACTTTCTTCACACATTCATACAGATACAGACTTTTTACACATTGCAGCGGGTCTCTTTTTATTGTTATTTTAAATCAGAGTCAGATCCAGGAGAGGCTACCGGAGCTTGCAGGGTCAACTCCTCTTGTTCCATCTTTTGTTTTTTGGCAGCTGGCTTCTTGAAAAACTTGTCCTAGGTGGTCTGTTTCTCTCTCTTACTCAACACCTGTGGAATTGACTGGAAAGAGTGTCATTGTAGAGATCATTGATCCTGTTGGCCTCAGCTCCGTTTGGATAATTAGTATTGGTAAACTCCTGAACTTCTCCCCATTTGACAACGAAGTTTTTGTCAACTTTCACTCCATAGATCCATTTCTACTCCATAGATCGAAAACTAGCATTTCTACTCTGTAGATCGAAACGTTAGTTTTTAATAAACTCCCTTGGCAACCAATAAGGTGTTAGTTACTTGATTAACTTTCACTTTTTCTGATGATTTCTTGCTTTCTTTCAATTGAAATCACCTTTCTGGTTTTTTAGAAGCCATGATTCGCTCAACACTTGAATAAATGTAAATACCCTGCACTGACGTGATGTACTGTACGTAATAAACAAGGGAGCAAGCCGAATCCCAACGGAAGCTCTGATACTAATATATTATAAAAATAGTAGATTGTCATTGGCAACGGCAAAAGAGTGGAAACATCATTCCAACTTCTTCGTAGAAATGTTGTTCGCCTCACATGACTGCCGAACGGAAAGTCCGTTGTTTGCAGCCAGTCCGTTGCTCGAGTCACGTAACTGCCAAATAGAAAGTCCGTTGTTCGCAGCGTCCGTTATTCGAGGCGAACGTTATACGAGGCACCACTGTATATAAAACCCTAAGTCTTAAATAAACGAAAACGGGCTCAATATACTATAAATAATAAAGCAATCTTTTCAAAAAATAATTTCTGCAAGATGGATTTAGTAAAAATCAGACCACAAGGTGGCGAACGTCATACATGGCAACTCTAAAGATACCAGCGCAAACGCCAAAAAATGAAGGGTAAAAAGGGGGCGGAAAAAAGTCAAATTTTTAATCGTTGTATTGTGTCAAAGTCTATCTGAAAGGAAAGGTTTATGGAAGTTTTAAATCGTAATGTATACTTGTTTCTCCAAAAAAAGATTAAAGCAGATTTCACAATGTTTTAAATTATACAAAGTGTAACCAAAGCTACAGTACGTCTATATATCGTATGTGTACTCATTGTTTTTTATGTAAGTTCTCTACTGTAATAGATAAAAAATATATATATTGTATTATAGTTGACTGAAGAGGGGCAAAGCCCGAAAGGAGTACAAAATAATGTACCGTATCGACTCAACTAATAAAGATATTTGATGGGAAAACTTGCCATGTGTCCTTGCAATACAACACAAGACTAGTGTTTACTACGCCAGAAATATAAAACAGGACACGGTTTCAAAAAAACAAATCAAGTCAGTTGTTTGTTTAATTAATAAATAACATTATAGATGAAACGGATTTACATTTGACACTTCGTTTAACATTTTTTGTAAAAATCTATTCCATTTTTTAAAACTAAATTAAACAGATTTTCTGATCGCTGTGATAGTCCACGAAATGATAAATCTTGAATATTATTATTATTGTATAATTATGCTTATGTTTACTTTGGTGAGTGAGAACGAATCAGGCAGGCAAAAGGAAACCATCTAATTATTTTTCATGAAAATATTATGATAAGGACGAGCACTAATGGTGTCGATAATATGCATGGCGATCCGGTCAGGAAAACTGATTCCGGATCATTTGGTATAAAATGGGTTACCCGGCATATGGGTGTAGGCAACCAGGTACCACAACGAAATATGCATCTGGAAAAAAT